ATAGGTTTGGTGCACTCTACAGATTTGTGCTGTTCACCGCACTTCACGCAACGCGGCAGATGGTGGCAATATGTCTTCGTGTGGCCATAGGTCTGACAATTATGGCACTGCACGATGTCTCTCTTGGGATATGGCTTCTCAACTTTCACCATTGTGTAGTATATTCTTGTGATATCATATATTTTTTCGATACCTGGTGATGGCTCCAAGTCCACGAAAAACAATGGTAGTGGGATCCTATTTCGTAATCCTGGCTGCTCCCTGTCCTCCTTCAAAACGTTTGTTACCTGGCGTACATTGAAACCAAGCGTCGTTAGTTCTTCTTTAATAACTTCAGTGGGGGTTGAGGAATGTAAATTTCTTATCACTACTCGTAAAGCTCTTTCCTGCCTCAGCTGGTAAGTGTGAAAATTCGCATTTGTTTCTGATAAGTACTTCACTATTTTTCGGTAGGCTTCTGCAGAATCAGGTGTTATTTTGGTGTCATTGGTCCTGTTAAGGCATGAATAACTGCCAGAGCAGATTTTATTTAGTTGGGTGCAGAACATCTGGAAATTTTTTATATTTTTCACAAATATCGGAGGAGGCTTTGGTTCTCTGGATATTGCTGCAGACTCCATTACTTCTCTGTCATTTTGAAGCACTTGGTAGGGGTTTGGAGTAAAGAAAGGTGATTCTTCAATCGTTTCTTGTGCAGACGTACCTGGTTGGGGCTGAGGTTCTGGTTCTGAAGTGTTCATTTTGGTCACTGGAGGTATTTCTCGTAGGCAGCGACGAGTCCTTTGTTTGGCTGGTGAGCTAACTCCGTCTGACCGAGACCTCTTGGGCACCTTACTGGCCATCACTTGCTGATCATACCGCATATCATAAGAGAAAAATAAATAAATAAATAAAAAAAAAAAAAAAATTTTTTTTTTTTTTTTTTCTTAAAATAACAAAAAAAAAGATGCCAACAGTAAATATTAACTGCTCTAATATACACTTTAACTGTATCACGTGAATAATCAGAGAGATTCCGCTATAAAATTGGTAAAAACTGAGAGAGGAGTTGAGGAGACAACCTTCTCATCAGCTGATCCACTGCCTTCTTGATTTATAGTGTTGATATTTTTTCTTTTCTATGTAAATATGTTCTTCTTAAAGTGTTTTTTTGTTATTTCATTAATATATTTGTCGTCAAATAAAAGTATTTTTGTTGTTATTACATTTGTTTTTGTATCTGTTTACACTTTCAATAATACGAATTTAATACAATAATACGAAGATGTGAAGTAGGAGAAGGCTTATCACTGCGTTATGGGAGTTATCAGTGTTCAGGTTATAAACATTGGCAGATAGCAGTCAGTAGCGGCCGCTTAGACAAAAAGTACCCTATAATTAAATTAAAATTTCTCCTTTCGTAGGATTAACATGGTTGCCCCACATTTTCCTGCAGTCTCCCTTGGGCCTTCCAGGTTGTCTCTGAGAGTGTGAGGTCATCTACCTTGCAACATCTGGGGATTGCCTCCTCGGGTTGCTCAGCCCTGGATGTATAGGGGTTGTCTCTCTATCATTCTTGGCAGTCTTACCTTATCTACGCTTTTGCTGAAACCCACTCTCTCCTGACCTACCTCCTTTCTCCTTTCGTATGATTTACGTGGTTGCCCCAAGTTATATATATATATATATATATATATATATATCTATATATATAGATATATATATATCTATATATATAGATATATATATATCTATATATATAGATATATAGATATATATATATATATATATATATATATTGTAATGTCAACATTACATGGTATATAAATAGTGGCGCGAAAGTGGCAAGAACATGAACTACGGTGCGGATGGTGGGGGAAGCAAGCATCATGTAACTCAGACTGCGACGGACCGCCAAGAGGGAAGGTGCTAGCGGCCAAGAGAGAAGATGTGACAAGCTGTCAAGAGAGAAGGTACTAGCCAGCAACTTGAGAAAATAGAAACAGCCACAAAGTTTAGACTGGGACAATAAAGGTTTTTGAATGTATAATTTCTTAATGTATGTATCTCGTTTCTTTATATGTATTTAGTAATTAGTGTACATTGTAGTTATTAAATGCTGAATGAGTGTTCAGTTGTCAGAACCCAACCTAAAGATTTATGTTATATGTGTTAAAATAAATAAGATATTAAAAAAGGAACTCGTTGTTTTGATTTATGTTGACAAAGGGAACGTTACAATATATATATATATATATATATATATATATATATATATATATATATATATATATAACACTCATAGAGAGGAGTGTGTAGAAGATAAGTAAAAAATAAAATATATTTCATAGCAATACAATGTTTTGAATAGGAAAAGTATAAGTTAAGAAAAACAAACTTTACCTACTCACAAAAAAGTAGTGTGTAAAGAAAATTAAAGTCTTATTACATAATAAATACTTCGCCAACATCTGATTGAATTGTGAAGAGGAATTGGAATAAGAGGGTTCGAAATGAGTATAAGGATGGTGCATGGCAGATTTTTAGTGGGATGGAATTCCAAAATGCAGTGGAATTAACAACAAAGAAATGTTTATATGATGCAGATCTGTGGAAAGGGGTGTAAAGGTCAGAAGGACGAGATCTTGTGGAGAGGGTATGGATAGATGAATTGAATTTTAGGAAATTATATGCGTAGGATGGATAATGATTATTGATTATTTGGTTATGTAATGTGCCTGGGAAATAATATTGTCTTCGGAAGGAGAGATAAGAGCCACTCTATCTCAACATTGTGGTGCGAAACACTGGAACGTCTCAGGGTCCTGGTGACAAATCTTATAAAGGCATTCATAATTCTTTTCAGTCTGTCCCCGAGTTCTGTCAAGAGGCCACCGTACTCCACGGAGCCATAATCAAGGTCTACATGTCTACATGTGGGAATGGGTAGGAGATAACAAAAGGGATGGAATAGTTTCAAGTTACCAATTGACTGTCGGGAGATGTGTGCAGTTTGGTGATTCCAGGAGAGGGTTTGGTCTATGAAAATGCCTAGGTTTTTTATTGAGGAGCTGAAAGTGATTGGATGGTCATTTAGGTACAGAGTAGGAATGTTGTTGGTATTGTATGTTTGTATACTTATCGAGGTTATTCACAAAAAAGTTTTCTATCATAACTTTTTTCCTAGAATTTCGGGGGAGGGGAGGTGACTATTTTTCCCACCTGATGGAGAAGATTTTCAAAATGAGGGCTCATTCATTGGATTTGACGAAGATATGGCATAGTGGCAAAAAAAAAGCTTCTGTCGGTATCTCTTGACTTCAGAAAGACCCTGTGGCCTGTTATGATTTCCCAGATATCTTGTTCATTCTGAAAATTGTATTCAACCGAGTCCATAACCTCCATTACAAGATCTTTGCTTGCAGTAACTGTCCTTTTACACACTTATTCACTTATTAATGTCGTTCTACATGTTACTAGGTTCTATTCTAATCACTATAAACTTAATTAATCTTTATTTTAAGTAATAACAAATCCCATCATGTGAATACTGAACTTTTCACAATGTTTGTCATTGTACGATTATATAAACAATTCTTCCTCATTTATTTTTATAATTGAGGCATTGAAATACCAAAGGTCTTGCTACTAAGATGTCTTGAGCTAAACTTCTCAGAATTCAAGTTTCAATATCAATAACATTAAAGAAACATAATAATGAATAAGAAACATTTTTTTATATGTCTTGTTTCCAACATCTTATAATCTAAATGAAATGTGAGTATGGGAAATAACTCCACTACAAAAACGTTTTAGGTCAGAGCTCATAACCTTTATTGCCTAAAATGCACATTCTCAATAAAAAAACAAAACAGCTAGAGTTCTGACAAAGCTCTTTGATATCATAAACAATCAATATATATTTTTATTAATATTGTCATCATCAATATCCTAGACTTTGATCACCCGTGATTATATAAAATTATAAAATCACATTTATAATAGTTCATAATTCTGCACATAAACCTGTAATCTACAAAAAAAAATTGTGATTTTGCCGAAGAGACTTAAATTATTTTGCATTTCCATGCTTCAATAGCTTAAATTAACCAGAAAATAGACGTACGTATTATAGTGTAGAGACCATATAGCATTACAGCCTACTAATGCCTGAGACGCCTGACGCTACCCAAAAGCTACAAGAGGATATTGACTGCATCAACAGATAGGCAGAAATAAATAAGTTAAAGCTGAATTTAGATAAAACTAAGGCTATTCTCATCTGGTCCAGGCGTCTCATTAGTTCCCTTCCTTGCTCTCCTCTACTATACCTCAATAGCCACCCCATTCATTTTTTCCCAACAGTTAAAAACCTCAGAGTTATCTTTGATCAGAACCTTTCCTGGAATAACCATATTTCCTAGATAATCCGAAAATCCATAATTATCCCTTGATTCAATTCCTCAAAAAACCAGACAGCTCCTTGTAACCTCTCTCATTTCCCCACTTGAACTACGGTTGCTTGGTGTATGGAGGGCTGCCTGAAAGACTGGAGATGAAATTGAAGAGACTTATGAACTGTTCTAAAAGATTCAACTTCGGAATTCCCAGGCGTTCTCTTGTTTACGACTGGTATACAGAGTTGAAGTGGCTTTATCCGTATCTATGTAATATTTATCGATTTCTGTAATTACAACATCTCACTAACAATTAATCAACAAGTTTCATTTGATTTATTTATTTACTTTTTCGTTGTACACATGTAAGTCATATAAAATGTACTAGTGTGTGTCATATAAAGTGTTTACTATTGTTATTCAGGTATGATTGCAATAAAAATTGAAATTAACATTCAAATGACTCTTAGTATTCTGTCAAACCAGATTAAAGGACTAATGTTTTGTACCATGTTATTATTATTCTTGAGGAACTTTAGTCCCAGAATAAAATTATTTTTTCATTCATTAATGTATGATTTATAGATTACAATATAAGTAATGAATCCATCTTTAATTTTTGAGGTGTGCTAGCGACTACATTCCGAGACTTCGCTGTTAGTCCTCTTCCTGACAGGAAATGGATAATGTTTGATGGTCCTGTAGATGCTGTATGGATTGAAAATATGAATACTGCTCTTGATGATAATAAGAAACTATGTCTTATGTCTGGTGAAAGTATAAAGGTATAATTAATCTGTTTAATTATTATTATTATTATTTAGTAAGAAATAACATCTATTGTTTCTTACTTAATAATGTATAATTACATGAATAGATAAGATTATTAAATGGGTAGAAACTCTATCTGAATAACTCACTCTGAAAATCTTCTCCTGAACAACTCACCTATATTATTTCATACTACCGTTAAAAACCTAGGAATTACTTTTGATCCAACCCTCTCATGGAAACCACCCATCTCCCAAATTTCCCGTCACACTATCCTCCACCCTAAAACAGTTCAATCGCCTACGTTATCTCCTTCTACATAAGACCCGTCAACTCCTAATTTCCTCATTTGTTTTTCCCTACTTCGACTATGGCTGTATGGTGTAGGAGATCTCGAGGCCAAACTTAAACGCCTAATGAATTGTGCATTACTTTTTGTTTTTGGAATCTCAAAAGATACGCATATTACCCAGTATTATGCGTACCCCACAGCACAGTACCCCACCACTACACTAAGTTAGGGAGGCTCTTCCCCTCCTTAAGAAGACAATATTTCCTAGGCACTTTCCTTTATCAAATCATTACCGATCATCGTCCTTCTTATGCTTACAACCTTCTCCAATTTAAGTCCTCAATCCATTCCCTCACTAAATGATCTAGACCCTCTGACCTATACATCCCTTATAGATCTGCCTCATTCCAAAACTCCTTTATAGCCCACTCTGTCAACTTTTGGAATTCCCTGCCGATCAAAGTTCGGCATGCCCCCTCCCTATACACATTCAAAAACCTATTCCAATTCCTGTTCTAAAAACAGTCAGATACCAGCTAACTATTAATACTATATATGTATTGTGTAGCAATCATATAATCATATGATAGTACTTGGTAAGAGATAGTACATGCATTTCCTACTATCGACGTAGGAATTTCAATACATACATTTTTTTTTATGAAATGAACTCATTCTATCTCTTTTTTGTTCTTCATTTCTCAAAGTGTATGTTTATGTTGTTCAACCCTTATATATAGTTTTGTTCATAGTTCAAGTGATTCGTTCATTGTTTTAATTGTTTTGTTCATATTTTTAAATGCTCTGTACATAGTTTTATCTGTATTGTATATAGCTTATGCGCCTAAGGTTTTCTTTACTTTTTAGTTTATTTTATCAATTTTATTTATTGTTTCAAACTTTTAGGCCAGTAATATTCTATTCTTTTGTACAATATTGTTATTCTAAAGGGACTTAGTCCCAGAATAAAGCTTTTTTTTCTATCTATTACACAGAGTTGAAGTGGCTCTATCCATCTTATCGCCGTCAGTACTTCCTAGCTACCTTTCTGTACCAGATCATTAGAACTCGTCAACCCTCCTATATTTTCCATAGCTTACAATTTAAATACTCCATCCAATCCCGTCCTACTAGATCTTACACTTCTGACCTCTATCCGCCTCCTCACCGAACTGCTGCATTTGACAAATCATTTGCAATTCAAGCCACCTCCTTCTGGAATTCCATCCCTGCTGATATTCGACACGCACAAACAGTTTCCTCTTTCAAACCTCTCCTCTTTAAACAACTACTCCTTTCTCAACCTACCTGATTATGAAATATACCTAATAGAGCTGTCTAGATACCCCCCGAAAATGTTTCTGTTATTTAAATTTTCTCTGTTAGTATTATGTACTCTTATTATGTATGTATATTTACTCTTTTCATGTATTTTTCTCTCTTTCTGTCTGTATTTTTACTTTTAAATAACTAATATTGTAAATATGTACTCTATTTATGAACACTTACACATTTATTCAGCACTTATAATTTGTTCTAAAGGGACAACAGTCCCAGAATAATAAAATATGTATTCATTTCATTTCATAGATATAATGAGACCCTATCTGTACATGACAGACCTCGACCAGGCCGTCCCTGCACTATGAGAATGGCAAATGCAGTGAGAGCAGTGGCTCGAATCAGAAGAAATCCCATTCGAAAATAACAAATCATGTCTTGGGAAATGGGAATCTCTGTCAGATCAATGTCTCGCATTATAAAAAGTGACCTTAGGAGGAGTGTATTTTGAAGAATGACAGAACAAAGGCTAACCACTTCCCTAAAAATAATTAGAGTGGATAGATACAAAGTGCTCCTTGGCTGTTACACCAATCTTCCTAATCTTCCTAGGCTTCTGAAAAGGAGATAGCCTCGTGATCTTCTTACTGAAAATTATTTAGGGAGTGCTACTACTGGGTAGTATCTCTTCAAGCCTGTACATGTCATTATTTATAATTTGCGCATATTTACTAGTTGTATTTGTGTACAGTTGTAAATTTCATTAAATTAAAAAAAAAAAAAAAGATTTGTATTTAGCTCCCCAAACAACTCTTCAACACGAATATTCATAGCAATCGAAAAATAAAACTTTTTCCCTTCAAAATTGTACCAAGGCTATGGATTATTGTCGAAAATCACAAAAAATTTGATTAGACGGATTTTTAGGAATGAGGTACCAAATGAAAGGGTATTCAATGGATACATAGAAAACCATAATTGCATTCTCAATCCAGCACTCTCACAGTCAATAACTTTCATGTAAGTGGCTGTAGAGAGTATACACTTCTGCTTGAAATACGGTAAAATGTTTTCCTAATGGGATGTTAATTCTATATTTAAATTCTCTATATAGAATCCTAGAATATCCACAAAGCAACATGGATCTCTCCAAATGGGCAAACAACATCACAGATAGACCATGTACTCATTAGTGCCCGTCACAAGTCCAACATGATAAATGCAAGATCTTATAGAGGTGCAAATATGGACACGGATCACTATTTGAGCATTGCCGAGGTCAGATCACGAATTTCGTTGATTAAAAACAACCACCAACGACCAAAGAAGAAGATTGATATAGCTAAACTTAAGGACTCAGACCACCAATATTCGTATCAACAAGCTGTGGAGACGAAACTTAATGCAGAAGTAATTAATGACAGCTCCATGGTCGATGAACAGTGGAAGAGATGCAGCAATGCAATGAAACAGGCAGCAGAGGAATCTCTTGGCTACGAGACTAAATCTAGAAGACCCCCATGGTTTGATGCTGAGTGCCTTCAAGCAGTAAAAGTGAAAAATGAAGCCTACAGAAAGAAGGTTCAGCGTCCCACAAGGCTCTCCCAAGAAACATATCGAAGAAAAAGAGGCTAAGAGAAGAGATATTCCGCGGAAAGAGAAGAGCTTGGGAAAATAAGAACATGGAGGACACAGAGGCACTGCGTGGCCAAAATTAAAGTCGGCTGTTCTTTCAGAGAATAAACGAGGGTAGGGCAGCTTTCACGCCCAGAGTGACGGCATGCAAGGACACGAATGGAACTCTTTTAAGCCACAAAGATGAAGTACTAAGGAGATGGGTACAACATTTCAAAGACGCATTAAACAGAGGAACGGTGCCTGGAGAAGTAGGAGTAATGAAGGAAGACTCCCTGAATTCTATTGAACCCCCGGATGAGGAGGAAATGGAAAACGACTTGAGGAAATTGAAAAATGGAAAGGCGCCAGGCCCGGACGGAATCCAGTCAGAGCTGTTGAAATGTGGAGGTGAAGAACTCAAGAAAGCTTTGCATGATTTAATGCTGACCATCTGGGAAAGGGAAGCTATGCCTACGGAATGGGCAACAGCCATTATCTGCCCAATACATAAGAAAGGAGATCAAACAGAATGCGCTAACTATCGAGGAATCTCACTCCTTTCGTGTGCTTATAAGCTGCTCTCTAACATTCTTTTTGAGAGGATCCTCCCGTATTCTGAAAAGGAACTGGGGAAATATCAGGCTGGATTTCGAAGAGGACGCTCAACCACTGATCAACTGTTCTCTCTGAGGATGATCCTAGAAAAGACTATGGAGCGTAAGGTAGTCACCCACCATTTATTTCTGGACTTTAAAGCAGCATACGACTGCGTTGATAGAACGCAACTATACTGTGCCTTGGAGGAGCTAAGCATCCCTCAGAAGCTCGTACGCCTAATCAAGATGACCATGGACAGCTCGAGATGTAGAATACGCGTCGGTTCTGACGACTCCGAAGAGTTTAAAGTGAGCAGTGGGGTTAGGGAAGGGGATGCCCTCGCCTGTCTATTGTTCAACTTGGCAGAGGAGAAAGCTGTAAGAGACTCCGGTATTCAGACCAACGATATAATCTTCAATCGCCTGACACAGCTTCTTGGTTTTGCTGATGATATTGACATAATAGGTAGGTCTGAACGGGCTCTCAGAGAAGCGTTTATAGGCCTTGAAGCAGCTGCAAGACCACTTGGTCTAGAAGTCAACGAGAGGAAAACTAAGTATATGAGAGTTGGTGGTGAGGTGGATCTGAACTCTCCATTTGAGGTAGGTTCTTTTAAGTTTGAGAGAGTGAAAAGTTTTATATACCTTGGGTCTGAAATTAATAGCAAAAATGACATGGCTCAAGAAATACAAAGAAGGATCACGGCTGCCAATAGATGTGTCTTTGGACTTGGCCGACACTTAAGAAGTAGGTACCTCTCAAAGAAGACCAAGCTGATCATATACAAGACCCTTGTTCGGCCTGTTTTGACATATGGCTCAGAGGCTTGGACAATGACTAAAAACGATGAGATGAAGCTGAGTGTGTTTGAGCGAGGAGTCCTCAGAAGGATTTATGGTCCAGTAAAGGAGGGTGATGTCTGGAGGAAAAGAAAAAATAGGGAGCTCAGTTCTCTCTATACAGACATCGACGTAGTCACGTATATTAAACTGGCCAGACTAAGGTGGGCAGGGCATGTGGCCAGAATGAGCACCGTTGAAATACCAAAGAAAATAATGATGGAGGAGCTGCACCTCGTAAGACGGGTAGGAAGGCCGAGGACGAGATGGTTGGACAACGTGGCCTATGATGCGAGAACCCTGCTTGGTGTACGGAACTGGAGAGCTGCAGCAGAAGACAAAGCCAACTAGCGGAGGCTCTTGGAGGAGGCCCAGTCTCGGTAACGGG